CAAAAGTTCGCTTTTTTGCCTAGAAATGGACAGCTTTCGGCCTTTTTACAGAAGGATTCACCATGGTAGACCTGACGCGCTAACCTGATTTTTTCACAGTTTCACTTCCCATTATCTTCTCTATCGAATGCTGAAAACCGCATTGTTCTACCTCTTTCTGTTGAAAAGTTATTCAAAAACTGCCGGGTATCATTCTTTTTCAGAACGGATAGTAGTATTTATCTTACATGATTACGATTGTATTGAGCTGCAGCGATTGCTTCACAGACAAGTTGTGGTTCGCCTTCAAGTTGGTTCTCTTTTCTTTTGTCCTATAGAATAAAACCGCAAGTGTTGATAATCAAAGAATTGTTCCAGACAATTACCTCAAACACAGCTAAACGGAATTGATTGTTAATATCCAACACAGTGATGTCAGCAATAGCAGTGGCTCGTCCGTTCGACATTTCGAATTTCAATACGTTTCGAGATCTAAAATAATGTACATTGAGATAAATTTCATCACAGAAAATCAATAACTATCCCATCGGAAGTGGATCTCTCATTGTTTAAGAGTCAGGAAATACAAAAGTAGTACGAAAAACAGTTACCCACTTACAGTGATACAAGATTTTTCTCATTAAATCCCGATAAATTTAATAAGCACAGCACCATGTCATCAACAGCTGATTCATATTTGCCAAAACCAACAGTAGCTAAATAGATCAATTTTGCTAACCACATGGCGTTTGGATCTTTAGGAAACATTCGATACGCTAGATTATCAGATGAAATAGCTAAACAAGCTGTTACCAAGGCTTTAGCACGATCTAAATTAAGTAAATAAACGATTTCTGGTAACACTTGCACTTTAAAAGGAAATGCAATCTCACCTGATAGATCTGGTACTTTTTGTACCAACAAATGTTCCAGTTCATCAACCGGAGCAAAATTAATATTGTACGATATAAGTGTATCCTCCGTCCAATCGCTGCCCGACAATGGGCCTGGAAGGCTTTTTCTTTTTAAAGCTCGTTGAGTTCTTCCTGAAAATCAGTCAGAACAACAATAATATATCTCATAACATTTACCAGCGGTCAGGTTTTTTACCTGAACGTTCCTCGAAGATTGTCATTAATTGATTCCGATGTTTGAGTAGTAGGTTTTTGTTTTCGAGTAAGAGGTTCTCTTTTTTTAGAAGATCCGGTGCTAACGATCGATCACTCTTTACTTGCTCTTTTACATCTCGTAGTTCATCATTTAACGCTTTCAGCTCATCTTCGACACATTTGTATTTAGTTTCAAAATCTGTCTCTGTCATATTAGAATAATCTGCAACAATCATTAAAACCATGACAAAAGTCACAGTGACTTAAGTCAATAAATTTGACTTAATTCTCTAGAAACGTTCGATCATTTATAAAAGTATTCAAAGTAAAAGTACTTTAAACACAGTTTAAACTAAACTAATTAATTAAAAATGGCAATCGCATCGCATCCCCCTTTTAGCGGCAAGAACATTGAGAAGGGAACGAATATTTAAAGAGACAAATTCTTAGTTTACGCGCAGAAAAAAGCAGTTGAGTATGACTATCTTCATTTAACGGCTATAAAAAGTAATTTTGCTGCTCGTTTCTCCAAACATTGTACTTCCGCTTAAGCTTACGAGACTTTTTCAATTACAAGTGGACTAGTTCTAACACAACATTGTTCTAACAGTCCTCTTAGCTTTGTTGCAATAGTTAGTTGACGTAAGGTGGAAGCATCGTTCGAATCTGAACTGTGAACCATCATTTTTTACTTTGGCAGTTAATGAACTGCAATTTTTTTTTAAAGAAAAAATCTTTGCTAAAATGACTGAATCAGTGAGTTGAACCGTCTTATTCAGCAATTCAGTCACTTCACTTTTCTGATCGTGCATAGAAATACTTAGGAACCGTGATAAAAGGCACTCAGCCCTCACATTCTTTCTAATCTGTACTGGTTAAATCTATCACGGTGACACATTTACCTAGCACTAAATACACTTAAGTCGATTTTTTAACTTAACTGCTAAGTCACACTGAGGTTACGCCTTATAAAACGTAGTTACGGCAGTGTTTACTTAAGTGTGACTTAAAGTCAACTTAGTTTTTCATCTAACTCAACGACTAAAGTCGAATTTAAATTTTTTATACAAGTGACTCCCGTCTCTCCGCAAAACATGGAAAGGGAAAGGAAAGTATGGAATAACAGTTCATAGGTTAACCAATCTGCACGTGAATAACATATCAATGCAGTAGAGACAGAAATGCCATGCAAAGAAAAAAAACAGAAAGAAATATTCCGAAGAAACAAAACGAGTGACAGGATAGGAACAATCATTTTTCTCTAAGCTAAAAGATAGATGTCGCACGAAACCGGTTATCGGTAGTGAAGGAGATTGAGGAACGAAGTTTTTTTAGGTAGAGCTAAAGGTACAAGATAATCCATAGAAACGAGACTGTTACTGTTATAGAAATTTATTAACATGTAATTCTTGATATATTACATGTAATTTTTAACCTGCCACTGAGTTGCCATCTTTAGAATTCTTGATTTTTGCTCCAAAATCAGCATTGTTCATCAGATTAAAATCTATAAAATAGAATAATAATATTTCTGATTATATATACAATTATTTATTGTTTAAGAATTAAGAAGTATTTTATTCGTTTGTTAACAACGAAAATCGAGTCAAGTCGAATCGATTCGATTAAAATCCGAATGGATGCCGATCTCTCATGAGATTATTATCAAGTAACAAACAACAGACTGTATACGATAAAAAACGAGTGTATGAATGATTCACTACGTCATAACAATTTTTCTGTTTTGTATTTATAGATTGACACGTCATTTATTGTTGTTATATACAGACACACATACACATACACGTAAAAAAACATATTGTTGATATTTAATAATGAGACAAATAAAATAAGAACAACGAAAAAATACAGGGTAAGTTATGTATCTGTATTGAACTTTTGTCTTTCATTTGTTCTGTTTTGAAACTTCAATCATCAATATTGTATAATTGTAATTTTTAACCTGTCACTGAGTTGCTACCTTTAGAATTCTTCATTTTTGCTCCAAATTCAGGATTGTTCATTAGATTAAAATCTATAAAAAAGAATAATAATATTTCAGATTATATATACAATTGTGTATTGTTTAAGAATTAAGCTTTAATTTAAATTTAATTTATAATTTGAAAATTCTGCTACTAAATTAAATAACAATAACAATTGGTAAACTTCAAGTGATAATTTTGTTTGTTAAAAATGCAAAGAACAGAATAACTGAAATATTTGTCAACGTCAGTAGCATCGATCACAGTTTATTCTATAAACTTTTACACACAAAAATCTCAGGATTGAGTTATTAAAACCAAAATGAAAGATATAATTAAAACAACAAATGATGCTTAATCCTGTTAATGGTAAATTAATAATGTATCGACTACATAGAATAGATTAAGGCACGCGTAATTCACAGATCGAGTACAAATTTGTTTCCCGAACAAATCATACACCATTCGACGTAGTATTTCATGCTGATTCCAAATATGTATAATATATTCGGATCGTTCTTCTTGTCAAAAATCTCAAAAAACTGAAAAATCAAGACACGTGAGAAAACGTCTTTTTCACATAAGTGTTCTTTTTCCCGTATTGTTCGGTCTAAATGATGAAATTTTTTTCTTCATATTCACCGTGTAAAATTGTATCAGAAAACGGTGTCTCGAAATTGTTCGCATATTATCTGACGGATATACCGTCCATCTTTCCAGAAGACCTAGAAATGCGACATCTCCCCATTGTGAACCTATCAACTCCAGTTGGTTAAAATATAAAAACTTAAATCTTAGATCATTCGAATCCTGAAACGCTGAAGAAAAAATTATGTGAGTCTTTGCTTTTATTTTTTTCCTTCCTGCGAAAATCCGTTTTTTTACAGAAAAACTTCCTCTTGATTCATTTTTTCAAGAACAGTTTCTCAATCTTCTCAGGTGGCGCGATGTTCTACACAGAATATTTTCAAATCATTCTCTCTTCTGGTACACAAAAAATATAATAAACGCCGCGACAACAATCCGAAGTTGCGCATGTCTGACTCGTAAGTGACTCGAGTCAGTTTATCAAGTAGAGAGGATAAAAGCATAGAGATTTTTACTAAAAAATAAACATCAACTAAAAATTCAGAAATTCCAAATTCTTAAGAATTTCGAAACACCATGTTTTGATACAATTTTACACGGTGAATATAAAAGAAAAAAATTTCATCATTTAAATCGCACAGTAAAAAAGCACTTTTAAGAAAGAAAACGACTTTAATAAAAAAAAATGCGTTTTTTCACGTTTCTTGCGTTTTCAGTTTTCTGAGATTTTTGACTAGAAGAATGTGTTTTTTCTGGATATATTATACATATTCGGAATTAGCATGAAATTCTATGTGGTGTATGATTTGTCCGAAAAAAAATTTGTACCCGATCTTTGAATTATGCGCGCGTTAAATTAATTGATTTCAACAAGTACAGAATCGATAAACGTACCGAAATGATATCTGAAAGAAATAAGAAACCATTACAAACAAAAATTCTCTAAAATGAACATAAAACAATTGTGAAAAATTACATTCAAAATGAATGCTCAACAATCGGACA